AGCAGTTTAATAGTATAATGTTATTAAATGACTATGCCTACGATATGCCATTAAAAGTTTAATTTAATAACGCTTAAAATCGTCCCCGGGATGCTGTACATTAGTCTCCTATTGTGTCCCTGCATCCGGGCATTTGCACTATCGTAACCAATCAAATCAAATTCCCAGGTGTGTTCCCGGGGGGGGGGAGGGATGGTTGCTCCTGGAATTGACTCATTCATTACGCCACACACACTGGTCTTACCCAGAGTTCCCCTCCCAAGTGGTCAGACGTTGTTTTACAAATGGACGATTCCAACTGAACTCTTTCTCACCACGGTCCAGTCGCGTCGATCTCGCGAGATCGACGGCTACAAATTTCATGCTATGAAGACAGAAATACCACCATTCGATTCAGAAACAAAAGATCAACTAGTTCCAAACGATAGTTATAGTCATTATTAACATTGTAACGATTTATGGGCCTTTGAAAGTCAAACGCGATCGTATACGCCGATACCGTATACTATCAAATTACGCAATTGTCTGAACAAGACTATAGACTAGCCACACCTTTCGCCGAAACTTCGGCCCCTTCGAACATATATATATATATATATACATATATATATATATATATACATATATATATATATATATATATATATATATATATATATATATATATATATATATATATATATATATATATATATATATATATATATATATATATACCGGTTTGGTATACACTCGTCTGAAAACAACTCATAAACCGCTACATAACGTAACACGAGTGGAATCGTCAACGTGGGAAACCACAACATTCACATACAACATTCCCAGACTAATAGCTGGCTTTACGCATTGTAGGACTAACCTCCGAAATGCGAATAACATCATAACTTAACACGTCGTTCTCAGCTTGACCTTGTAGCTCAGAAGGTAGAGCATCGTTCTAGAAATGCGAAGGTCGCGGGTTCGAATCCCAGCCGCGGTCAAGTAGAATTTTCTGCTTGCCCGGTTTGGTATACACTCGTCTGAAAAACAACTCGAAAACCACTACATAACGTTACACGAGTGGAATCGTAAACGTGGGAAACCACAACATTCACATACAACATTGCCAGACTAATAGCTGGCTTTACGCATTGAAGGACTAACCTCCGAAATGCAACTAACATCATAACTTAACAAGTCGTTCTCAGCTTGATCTTGTGGCTCAGAAGGTAGAGCATCGTTCTAGAAATGCGAAGGTCGCGGGTTCGAATCCCAGCCGCGGTCAAGTAGAATTTTCTGCTTGCCCGGTTTGGTATACACTCGTCTGAAACCAACTCAAAAACCGCTACATAACGTTACACGAGTGGAATCGTAAACGTGGGAAACCACAACATTCACATACAACATTGTCAGACTAATAGCTGGCGCGCTATACGCATTGAAGGACTAACCTCCGAAATGCAACTAACATCATAACTTAACAAGTCGTTCTCAGCTTGATCTTGTGGCTCAGAAGGTAGAGCATCGTTCTAGAAATGCGAAGGTCGCGGGTTCGAATCCCAGCCGCGGTCAAGTAGAATTTTCTGCTTGCCCGGTTTGGTTTGACACTCGTCTGAAAACAACTCAAAAACCGCTACATATATATATATATATATATATATATATATATATATAAATATATATATATATATATATATATATATATATATATATATATATATATATATATATATCGTCTTATAATAGTCTTGTTCAGTCGAATCCGCATCATCAAAAACACTATGTAGAGTTATGTAGAGTGTTATTTGCAAGCCTGTATCTTCAAATTAGCATCTTCTATCATGGTATTTCCATTTCTTGTCCGACTGAGCTCGAAGTGAGCTAATCCCAACCGGAAATACGACTAAAAAAACGTCAAAACAATGCGACGTTTGTACCGTACGACCTTGCCAATGCCAGAAATGGATTCTACAGGTCAAATTTCACCTACACAAGTACACGGGAGTTCACGTCATCCCGTTTTGACGTCATCCACAGGAGCTTCTTATTGCCAATTATTGCGCAATGTACGCCAAACCCGACATCTTGAAAAATTCAAAATAAATATTTCTCGGCGATCTTAGTTGAAAATGAGCACTTGCAAATTTGGCAATTACTGACTGCATTGCTTGCTTTTTTGGAGTTAAAACGCACCATTTACACATTGTTTATGTTCTGAATAAGCAGAGAAAACCCCGCAACATTTTAATGCGAGTTTGTTTGTTTAAAATTTTTGGGTGCTGTCATTGGGTCTTTT